TGGGATTTTGTGGGATTTTAGGGGCATTTTGGGGTGATTTTTGGGCGGATTTTGGAGGGATTTTGGGGGTATTTTGTGGATTTTGGGGGGATTTGGGGAGGATTTTAGAAGGATTTTGTGGATTTTGGGGTATTTTGGTGGTATTTTGGGGATTTGAATGGGGATTTTAGGGGGATTTTGGAGGGATTTTGGGGGAATTTTGGCTATTTTAGGGTAATTTAGGAAGATTTTGGGGATTTTGGGGGGATTTTGAGTGGATTATGGGGGGGATTTTTGGGAGGATTTTGGGAGGATTTTGTGGATTATGGGGTGATTCTAGGGGGATTTTGGTGAGATTTTGGATGGATTTTGGGGAATTGTGGGGATTTTGGGGAGATTTTCAGGATTTTGGGGGGATTTTGGGTGGATTTGGGGGATGCACTCGGCCGCTGGGTGGGTGGAGCCGGTCACGAGCGAGGCCACGCCCACACCAAGGACGCGGCCGTCAATCAAACCGAGGCCACGCCCCATTGGCCACGCCCCTTTAATGGAAGCCACGCCCATTCCTGAGATGACCACGCCCATCAAGCAATGGGGTGGGTGTGTGACCACGCCCTCTAATTTGCATAACCACGCCCTCGTCGCCCCGGCGCTGCTGGTCCCGGGAATTCTGTGCTGGGAATTCTGTCCGGGAATTCTGTCCTGGAATTCTGTCCCGGGATTTTGTCCCGGGAATTGTGTCTCAGGAATTCTGTCCCAGTGATTCCTGTCCCGGGAATTCCCATCCCGGGATTCCTGTCTCAGGAATTCCCATCCCGGTGATTCCTGTCCCGGGAATTCCCATCCCGGGATTCTGTCCCGGGAATTCCCATCCTGGTGATTCCTGTTCCGGGAATTCCCATCCCGGAAATTCCCATCCCGGGATTCTGTCTCAGGAATTCCCATCCCGGGATTCTGTCCCGGGAATTCCCATCCCGGGATTCTGTCCCGTGTCTCCGCCGTGTCCCCGCGCTCCCGGCAGGCGGCGCTGTCGGAGCGGGGCCGGGATCGCCGGGAGCCAACCCGGGATAAACCCGGGATAAACCCGGCTGGGATAAACCCGGGATAAACCCGGCTGGGACAAACCTGTCCGGGATAAACCCGGCTGGGATAAACCCGGGATAAACCCGACTGGGACAAACCTGTCCGGGATAAACCCGGCTGGGATAANCAAACCTGTCCGGGATAAACCCGGCTGGGATAAACCCGGGATAAACCCGACTGGGACAAACCTGTCCGGGATAAACCCGGCTGGGATAAACCCGGCTGGGATAAACCCGGGATAAACCCGGCTGGGATGAACCTGGCTGGGATAAACCCGGCTGGGATGAACCCGGCTGGGATAAACCCGGCTGGGATAAACGCGGCTGGGATAAACCCGGGATAAACCCGGCCGGGATTAACCCATCTGGGATAAACCCAGGATAAACCTGCCCAGGATAAACCCGCTCGGGATAAACCCGGGATAAACCCGGCTGGGATGAACCCGGGATAAACCCGGCTGGGATGAACCTGGCTGGGATAAACCCGGCTGGGATAAAGCCGGGATAAACCCGACTGGGACAAACCTGTCCAGGATAAACCCGGCTGGGATGAACCCGGCTGGGATGAACCCGGCTGGGATGAACCCGGCTGGGATAAACCCGGGATAAACCTAGCTGGGATGAACCTGGCTGGGATAAACCTGGGACAAACCCATCTGGGGTAAAGATGGGATAAACCCAGGATAAAACTGTCTGGGATAAATCTGGGATAAACCTGTTTGAGATAAACCCCTTTGAGATAAACCCGGGATAAACCTGCCTGGAATAAACCTTTCTGGGATAAACCTGGGATAAACCTGCCTGGGATAAACCTGCCTGGAATAAACCTTCCTGGGATAAACCTGGGATAACCTGTCTGAGATAAACCCGGGATAAACCTGCCTGGGATAAACCTGGGATAACCTGTCTGATATAAACCTGGGATAAACCTGCCTGGGATAAACCTGCCCAAGGTAAACCTGCCCGGGATAAACCTGCCTGGAATAATCCTTTCTGGGATTAACCTGGGATAAACCTGCCTGGAATAATCCTTTCTGGGATTAACCTGGGATAAACCTGCCTGGGATAAACCTGGAATAAACCTGCCTGGGATAAACCTGGGATAAACCTGCCTGGGATAAACCCGGGATAAACCTGCCTGGGATAAACCTGCCTGGGATAAACCTTTCTGGGATAAACCTGGAATAAACCTGCCTGGGATAAACCCGGGATAAACCTGCCTGGGATAAACCCGGGATAAACCTGCCTGGGATTAACCTGGGATAAACCTGCCTGGGATAAACCTGCCTGGGATAAACCTTTCTGAGATAAACCCGGGATAAACCTGCCTGGGATAAACCTGCCTGGGATAAGCCTGGGATAAACCTTTCTTGGATAAACCTGGAATAAACCTGCCTGGGATAAACCCGGGATAAACCTGCCTGGGATAAACCTGCCTGGGATAAACCTGGGATAACCTGTCTGAGATAAACCCAGGATAAACCTGTCTGAGATAAACCTGCCCGGGATAAGCCTGGGATAAACCTGCCTGGAATAAACCTTTCTGGATTAAACCTGGGATAAACCTGCCTGGGATTAACCTGGGATAAACCTTTCTGGGATAAACCTGGGATAAACCTGCCCGGGATAATCCCAGGCAGCTCCCCCGTCCCCCTGCTGCCCCTCCCAGGCCTCCTCACAGCCGGTGGTGAAAGGATTTTCCTGCCCTTTTCCAGCCCTTTCCCAGCCCTTTCCCAGCCCTTTTCCCATCCCTTTTCCAGCCCTTTCCCAGCCCTTTCCCAGCCCTTTCCCAGCCCTTTTCCCATCCCTTTTCCAGCCCTTTCCCAGCCCTTTTCCAGCCCTTTTCCAGCCCTTTTCCAGCCCTTTTCCAGCCCTTTTCCAGCCCTTTTCCAGCCCTTTTCCAGCCCTTT